CCAATGTGCTCATGAATTGTATTTTTCCCCAAACCAGGATTTCCCATTCCCAAACCTTAACTGGATGGAGGAGGAGGCTGTGAGGAAGAGGAAGATGCCCTGGGACAGCCAGGCAGGTGAGGAGGAAGTCAGTGCCCCTTTCCCCCTCACTCCTGCTCCATCTCCCAGCCCAGCATGGCCCCCGGCTGCAGGACAACCCCGCTGCCAACGCCGTCCTGCCGGGGACGCACTGGGGGGATCTCCTTCCCCTTCCCTCTGGCACGGAGGCAAATCCCATCCTCTCCTTGTCCTTCCTCCCCCAGACAAGGAGCTGAGGATGGAGACCAGGGAGGACAAATCCCCACGGCAGAACCTCATGGAAGCGGCCATTTTGAGCAGCTCCAGGGCACAAGTATCTAATGGGGTAGAAAAACCCTGGAGATCCCACAGGAAGAGGGGCTCCAAACCCAGTCCAGGGTACTCTGAAGAGGAAAGACCCACCCTGTGTTGGGAAGGCGGCCGGAGATGCAGCTGGGGCTCTGAGCTGGTGGTCCATGAGCAGCTTCAGGATGGGGAGAAGCCCTACAAGTGCTTGGAGTGTGGGAAGAGCTTCAGCCAGAGCAACAGCCTGATCTGCCACCAGATGATCCACAGTGGGGAATGGGCCTGTGAGTGTTGGGAATGTAGGAAAGGCTTCAGCTGCAACTCCCACCTTGTCACCCATGTAAGAGATGGTCCGAAGAGTCCCTCATCTGTCTCACAACTGTCTCAAGGACAGAGACTGAGACCCTGAATATCACAAGGGACTTGCTTTGGGGGTTTGGGCCTAGCTGAGGTGGATGTTTGCTAAGTGATTGTTTGCAGGTGGTTGCACGGTACACTGCTCTCGTTCCTGCTGGTGAGCAGAGGCTTGTGCATGGTAACCTGCACAACGGGATCTCCATGACTCACGGCTCTCGTTCCTGCTGGTGAGCAGAGGCTTGCAAGACATGGATCGCTCCGTACCCTACACCTGCCCCCTGCGCAATGGAATTCATCACAATGATCATCAGTTGTTGGGGAGGGTGAAACAGGGAACCCTTATGAATGTGATTGTTTGGCAGAAGATTCTAAAATATGAAGGCTAGAATCGAAGTAGCAAGGAAAGTCTGCTTTGAGTCATAGGATACTGAGTACTGGTTAACCAAAGAACAATAGCCTAGCCAGCTAGAGAAGAATCCCTGTTGATAAAACAATGTCCTTCTGCTGATAGAAAGTCCAAAGGTCAAGAAGCAAGGAAAGAACTTGTAAAGCTTTGTAGAATTTAAAATGCAACACTGTATGTTAATATAGGGAAGCTCATAGGCTGTATGTAAATTCTTTACTGGGTGTGTCTCATAGTGATTGGTTACTGGGAATTAGAATATTCATTATAGAAAAAGATATATTGGATTGTAACAAGAACTTTGCTCTCTTAACTATTCTCTCCTACCTCTGAACCCCTCTCCCTCACCTCTTACCCCTTTACCCCTCTCCCCCACTCTTAACTCTCAGCCCCCTCTCCCTGCTCCTACCCCTCTCACTAGTCTTTCCTGCTCTCTCCCTCTGGTTTTTCCCTCTTTCCCTCTGTTGCTCTTACTCCCTCCCTCCCCTTTCCTCTTACTCCCTCCCTCCCCTTTTCCAACCTCCCCTGCTCTGCCCGCTCTCTCCCTCCTCCTCCTGACCACATGGACGCCGAGGCTGGTGGCGGACACGGGTCTCCCCTCTTTTTACCCTTATAATAAATTGCTTATACTTGAACAGCTTGACCCTGGAGAAGTCTCACCACGAGCGAGTATTTTTACACAACAATAATCAGTCTCCTCTTGTTTTGGTCCTGCGCCCCTCGCTTTGCAAAAGACTATAAAATCACACCCCAAACTGACCTTCCTTTGAGATCTCCCCAATGGACAGAAGACTGCATCGTTGGACGGCTGAGTGGACTTTGACGTTGGTAGCTATAATCCCCTTACTCTCTTTTCCTTAGGCTTTGCTTTCTCCTCTTTTCCCTCTATTGCATATTAGTGCTGATGAGCACTCAATAAAGTGTGTTTTGCTGTTTAAGTCCTTGGTTTGCTGATAATCTTTTGTACTCTAAGACCGGCTAAAAGAACCACATCACGAATCCCACCTTGCGGATTGTGACATGCATTGCACTGAGGGAAGAATGTTGTGTATATGCAGATCACACAGGAATAGTGAGGGACACCACGGCCAAATTACGAGAAGGATTAGAAAAGCAGAAAAGAGAACGGGAAGCACAGCAGAATCGGTTTACATCATGGTTTGACCATTCACTGTGGCTGGCCACTCATATCTACCTTAGCAGGACCGGTCATAATGATTGTGGTAGCATTGATTTTTGGACCCTGTATATTGAATAAGCTTGTGTCATTTGTTAAAAGTCGCCTAGAGAAAGTTAGCATCATGTTGATAGAATGCCAGCAATTGCTTTAAAAATGTTCTTGTTTGAAATTCCCTTTAGCTATTCCCAGTTACACCCCGGTTATCTCTTGCTTAACATACCTTATGCTTTTAATATGAGTTTGTAATTGTTATAAAGCATAGAATAAAAATAGGATGCTTTTAGTATGTTAAGATTGTTATCTGGTTAAGATTGTTATGATGTTAAGATTATTAAGATGTTAAGAACGTTAAGACTGTTATGTCTTAGCCAAGGTAATTGTGCATAGGGAGGGGGGAAATGTAGTTAGTTAAGGTCTGGCAGTCGGAAGATATCACGCTGTACGGGAAGATAGGGCCCCTCTCCTGATAGCCAGCAGAGTTTAGTTTATGATGTAAGCAGACGGAAGTGATGTAATGGACACATACTATAGAATGATGTATCTTTTACCAATAAATGCCATTTGCCATCCACCACATTGGAGTCTGCGAGCACATGGACCGAGCGACCTGGGGTTGGTCACGGTGCCGTTCCTGAACCAGGTCACCACGCCACCGAAGGCAACACCTCAGCCATGGGGGAAGGTGCTTGGCCAAGGGAAAAGGAGGCTCCCTGGGTGCCCTGCTCCCCTCTCCCTGAGGTGCTGAGAGCTCTGCAGCCCCTCCTGCCATCCCATCTGCCCAGGCCAGCACAACAGCCCTGGCCTTGGGGCCCTCAAGAGCTGCTCCTGCTCCAGGTCCAGGGACCATCCCAAAGCTGGGGCAGCCAGGAATCTGTGTCCAATCCTGTTCATTTCTGTTGTAATGGTGAGGGATCCTCAGCCACTTGGAGGTTGTTGATCAATTTTACTATTCCAGAGGCCACCTCTTTCTTGGGCTCATGGAACCAAGAGGCCCCTGTGACACTGCAGGGCCTTGTGGCACCATGCAGAGCATTGCAACAGAGCAGGACCTCGTGTCATGAGGCCCATGCCACTGGGACACTGCAGGGCCCCATGGAACCAAGGGGCCAGTGTTGCACCTCAGGGACTCATGGAATGAAGGAAACATGTTTGACACCATGGTGCCCAAGAGGCCCAGTGGTGACAGTGTGGAACCAAGGAGAGCATTGCTGCACTGTGAGACCTCATGGAACCAAGGATCTACTGTGACACTGTGGGGCCTTGGGGGACCAAGGCGCCATTGTGACACTGCGGGGCCCAAGGATCCACGGGACTTTGTGACACCAAGGGGTCCCATGGAACCAAAGGGACATTGTGACCCTGGGAGGCCTCATGGAATCATGGAGACCATTGGGACACTCCAGGGCCCCATAGAACCGTGGTGACACCAAGTTGGCTGGGAGTGTTGATGTGCTGCAGGGTAGGAGGGCTCTGCACAGGGACCTGGACAGGCTGGATCCAGGGGCCAAACCCAACAAGGTGAGGTTTAACAAGTCCAAGTGCCGGGTCCTGCACTTTGGCCCCAATGACCCCTGCAGTGCTCCAGGCTGGGGACAGAGTGGCTGGACAGCAGCCAGGCAGAAAGGGACCTGGGGCACTGATGGACAGCAGGCTGGACATGAGCCAGCAGTGTGCCCAGGTGGCCAAGGAGGCCCCTGGCCTGGATCAGGAATGGTGTGGCCAGCAGGAGCAGAGCTTCAGTGCCACCCCTGACTTGTCCCCAGCTCTACACACAGACATTGCTGCTGCAGCTCCAGAGAAGGGAACAAAAGGCAGATCTCTGGAGAAAAATTTGCTGGGAGAACCTTTAGTTCATTTAAAGCCACAAGAGCTCAGCCCCTCATTGACACAGTGTGTGGCCACAGGGAAGGTGGAGAGAAACAAAATGAGAAATGGCACAAACAATGACATTTATTTGTGGACAAGATTTAAAAAGAGAAAAAATTAAGAAAGAAAACCTCCAAAATGAAACAAACAAGAACTATCAAAGACGACTTTTATTACAAGTGATTTGCAGAAACTGACCAGCAGTTTAATGTTTTTGAAATTGTCCAGTCATCAGTGTCCACACTGCAGCCTTGAGCTCCTGGTTCCTCAGGCTGTAGATGAGGGGGTTCAGGGCTGGAGCCACCACTGAGTACAGAACTGACAGTGCCAGATCCAGGGATGGGGAGGAGATGGAGGGGGGCTTCAGGTGTGCAAATGAGGCAGTGCTGAGGAACAGGGAGATCACAGCCAGGTGAGGGAGGCAGGTGGAAAAGGCTTTGTGCCGTCCCTGCTCAGAGGGGATCCTCAGCACAGCCCTGAAGATCTGCACATAGGAGAAAACAATGAACACAAAACAGCCAAGTAGCAAACAGGCACTGACTGCAATGAGCCCAAGTTCTCTAGTATAGAAATTTGAGCAGGAGAGCTTTAAGATCTGTGGAATTTCACAGAAGAACTGGTCTAGGGAATTGCCATGGCACAGGGGGAGGGAAAATGTACTGGCTGTGTGCATGAGAGCACTGAGAAAGGCACTGGCCCAGGCAGCTGCTGCCATGTGGGCACAAGCTCTGCCGCCCAGGAGGGTCTCGTAGTGCAGGGGTTTGCAGATGGACACGTAGCGGTCGTAGCACATGATGGTCAGGAGATAAAACTCTGCTGAGATGAAGAACAGAAAGAAAAAAAGCTGTGCAGCACATCCTGTGTAGGAGATTTCTCTGGTGTCCCAGAGGGAATTGTGCATGGCTTTGGGCACAGTGGTGCAGATGGAGCCCAGGTCAGTGAGGGCCAGGTTGAGCAGGAAGAAGAACATGGGGCTGTGCAGGTGGTGGCTGCAGGCTACGGCGCTGATGATGAGGCCGTTGCCCAGGAGGGCAGCCAGGGAGATGCCCAGGAAGAGGCAGAAGTGCAGGAGCTGCAGCTGCCGCGTGTCTGCCAGTGCCAGCAGCAGGAAGTGGCTGATGGAGCTGCTGTTGGACATTTGCTGTGGCTGCACATGGGGACCTGTTCATGGATAAAGGACAGTGACAAGTCAGGAGAGGCTGGGACTCTCCTTTGTTCCTGCTCTGGGAAAACCTTCACCCAGGTCCCTGCCTGAGCTCCAGCTGTGCTGAGTATGCCAGGAGCAGCCAGGCCTGTGCCTGGGGGCTCTCCAGGAGCCATCCCTGCCCTGCTGCCCTGGGTTTGTGGCCATGTGGCAGAGGAACAAGGCTGGAAATTCAGGATTTGTCAGGGGAATCACTCCTAAAGCAGAAGGGCTTGGTAGCACCTGCACACACAATTCTGAAGTATGGCAGGAGATGGTTTTAGGAATTGTTCTCCTGCCCACACATCATTCCTGGTTCTCTGAGGTCAGAAATCCCCAGCATTTCTGCTGCACTCAGAGTTTGCCACTGAGAGATGTGAGAGGCAAAGGATTCCCTGTGGCTTTGGGAAGGTGAGGGGCTGGATGGGCTTGTT